AGGAGAGGGTTAGAGAGGAGTGTGTGTGTGAGAGGGAGAGGGTTAGAGAGGAGTGTGTGTGAGAGGGAGAGGGTTAGAGAGTGTGTGTGTGAGAAGGAGAGGGTTAGAGAGGAGTGTGTGTGTGAGAGGGAGAGGGTTAGAGAGGAGTGGAATAGAAGACCACCGATGCGCTAATTTATTATGATAATAATAACAATATAATCATCACACGTGATTCCTAGTTACGTCAAACCTAATGACCATGATATTCCACAATCGGTTGTGACGTTAGGCAGGACACGTTATAGTAAATATAAAATCAAAACCCGCTTGCGCTGCTTCTAATAATGCCTGTGCATGTCAACATAATGTACGGAAATTACAGGGGTTGATAATGACGATAGGATTACGAATTCAAATTTACAAAAAAACTAGAATCTGATCATATCACGAGTCATCATATGGCAATTATGAGATGAAAATTTCACATATACCTAACAATGATGACACTTATGAGACCCTGATTTCATATTTACGCGATAATGGCAATAATAATTATTTTCACAACATCAACGATGATGGCGACGGCAATTAAAAATCACAGTTCAGCATTTATAAAGAAACATCATAATCCTGATGACAACTTCTATTTGCTGACAACAACAGTGACGACGTCATTATTCCATGCGTACCTGATGGGCGAAGAAGCTGTGACGTCATGCATCATGTGAACCAGCGTGATGAACATGCCTCGGATTTCCACAAGTTTATTCTCGACGGCTGGGTACTGGTACAGCACATCTTCCTGTAAGAAGTGTACGATTCATGTACGAAACCTGAGAAAATATTTATTGAGTTCCACGCGACGTATTTGTACACCCGGGTAACTAAACACATTTTGAAAATCTACAGGTAGCAGAATATACGGCTTCGCGTGCGTCTCGTAACGAAAATAACAACACACGTCGTATTAAAAGTGATGGCATGTCTCGTGCACTTAGAACAATAAAAAAAACAGGGTAAGCAAGGCTTGAGATTGCTGAAAAAACCATCGCTCGCGTGCACGAACATCCCAAGATAAACTGCATAGAACGTCGACGCGTATATAAATAGCCTTACCCTACTCTGCTATTAAAATACCGCCCGCCTCGCGTACGTAGGCGTAATTAGATTCAGAGCCGGACCGTGCGCGACTGCCACATTCTCCAACGTTCGATGATTTCCTTCGATTTTAATTAGAGCTGCTTGTACACACGCAGGCCTTCTCTTGTTAAGTGCAAAAGAGAAAGCGAGAGAGAGTGAGAGAGCGAGAGAGAGAGAGAGAGAGAGAGAGCGCGAGAGCGAAAGAGAGGGAGAGAGAGAAAGGGAAAAATAGAAAGAGAGAGAGAGCGCAAGAAAAAAAGAAAGAGAGAGAGAGAAAACGATGAGGAGGGCGGCGGCGACGTGGAGAGGGAAAGAAGAGAGAGAGAGAGAGAGAGACGAGAGAAAGGAGGGAGAGAAGAAGGAGAGAGAGAGAGAAGAGAGAGAGAGAGAGAGAGAGAGAGAGAGAGAGAGAGAGAGAGAGAGAGAGAGAGAGAGAGAGAAGAGAGAGAGAGAGTGTGTGTGTGTGTGTGTGTGTATGTGTGTGTGTGTGTGGTGTGTGTGTGTGGTGTGGTGTGTGTGTGTGTGTTGGCGTGTGTGTGTTTGCGCGTGTGTGTTTTGCGCGTGTGTGTGTGTTTGTGTGTGTGTGTGTGTGTGTTTGTGTGTGTGTGTGTGTGTGTGTGGTGTGTGTGTGTGTGTGTGTGTGTTGTGTGTGTGTGTGTGTGCTGTGTGTTGTGTGTGTGTGTGGTCTGTGTGGACAGTCAGCATAGATAGCTACACACGGCTCACAGACCGCTGCTCGGCGTCACTCGCTCCCGCAGTCGCAGCTCGCATCGTACGTAGACGCAATCACGCGCACTTCACGCCGTTTCAATAAGAAAAATTCGACCGCCACTCCAGAGAAAGTGTACACCATCCGATTTCCGCGAAGGGGGCGAGTAGCTATCGACGTTTGTGGAACACTGGCACCGCTTTGATTTGATGGATTCTATAGATCCGGACTCGAAGAAGAAGAAGAAAAAATGATGGTAAATAAACGCAGATCGCATTTATTTACAAAGGATTGCGATGATAATCCTAAATGATCGCAGATCGCATGTATTACATTGCGTATTCTCCATCGACTAATATCGTATTTGTTACTACTACTCGACGCTATGAACTACTGCACGTAAATGCCGTTCAAACGCACCTCACGCAACACACTAATCTTACCGCACGCACGCCATTGTGCACAAAACTCAAAGAAAGAGTGAAGTTTGTTTTCATTCAGCCGTCAGGTTTTTGTTTTGAAGCGGTGGTCCAGGACAACAGCATGCACAACTCGGTGAGACTAATCAATGCCATCGATTCAATTGTTCAATCGATTCAATCGATTCGATCGCGCTTCAATGCCATCGAATTCGATTTGCCTTGATCACGCGATGCCTCTGTTATATCAGATGTCAATCAAGCCGCTCTTCTGTGCTCTCCAGCAATGGGCCCATCATGCATCTGACCGGTGGAAGTGGAAAGAAGCACATGGCGAAGAGCGGGATAGAATGAGGCAGTAGAGAGTAGAGAACATCGGAGTCATGGAGCAGAAGAAACGGGGACAGAAGGTGAACGTTATTTGGGGTGGGGGGAGGGGAGAGGAAGCGCGGGGTAATCAGTTAGGGAAGGAGAAGTGATAAAGATCAGGAGGACGACGGTCGGCAAGCGGATGGGAAGGTGGAGGAGTCGAAGTGAAGGCTCGTTCTGGCGGAGCGAATAGAGTGTTATGTAGGAGTTGTATCATGCAGAGAGAGGAGGATAGCGGACAGCGCCGGGTGAGTGTGGGGAAAGAGAACATATTGTTGAGAACCCACCCCCCAACCGCCCGCACCACACACTACACACCCACGACAGCAGCTGGGCCAGCGGTATTATAGTCTCTAGCTCGGTGCTGATGGCCAGCTCATAGTAGCGTGCATAACCACAGAATAGACAGAATGGAGAGCTCTCCCCACTCGTGTGTGTTGTTTCTACAATAGAGCCGGAATGCGTGCAGGTCCCAAAACGCTAAGCATCCTCCCCGGAGACTTTGCAGCTTCTCAGTCGCTTTGAAGTGTGACAAATAGTGTCAATAATTAGTTGCACTTTGCTGCGTCGCAAATAATGAGGCTCTTTGCAACACATCGCGCGCACGCAACGGACGGCACGCACGCGCAGCGAGCACGCACGCAACGCACCGAACCACACACGCGCACGTGGAACGCACAGCACAACACACACACAAGGGCCGCACGACGCACACGCACAACGCACACCGCAGCACACACACACAGCCGCACACACACAGCACACATACACAGCACACACACGCACACACAGGCACAACGCACCAGCGCACGGCACGACGCACGCACAACACACAACATACATCCTATAGCTCGAGGGCTTACAGGTCCCTTAGCGATACAGAGAAATCGCGCGTTTACAAGAGCTCATCTCGGCTCGCTGACAGTTTCTGAAAGCTGATTAGGTTTGGCCACGACGGCGAGCTCTACCTGTGACGACCACACGCCCCGCCACCCTGCGCGTGGAGACATCCGACCTCTTGCCCGGCACCAGAACGTAAACAAGTGTATAGGTAGGAATATGATGTGGCGTGGTGGCGCTGTGTAGTCCATCGTGGCAGACGGGCCGTGCGTGTATGGCAGGCGAGGTGGGAACACAACTGGGTGATTTAGTCGACTATCATATCATTCCATTTAGTGACAGTCATTAAATCAACCAATCAGAACAAGTTGTTTTTTTCTCAGGCCCAACTTCATAGGCATGGAATTGATTGACAACACTAAATGAATTTAATGATAGAGCACTAAATACCGATTTGTGTCCCACGCTCGCCTGCCATAATGCGTTGGCGTGGGGCTCAGTGTGCCGCTGGCTTGTGTGACGCACGACCGCGGGGATAATCTATGATGGGGAAACAGGGACCACGTACATCGAGTGGATGTTGACCGGTGGCAGTCTGGACATTGTACGGTTGGGATTGTAAGACCCCCCCCGCCAAAAAACTAGGACCTTGACCGATGCTAGTCTGGACATTGTTCAGTTTGGGGTGTAAACCGGCCCCTTTGACGCTTGACGGTGGTAGTATGGACATTGTAGCAGTTGAGATGTTAGACGGCCAGCTGCGAACTTCGACGCGATGGCTAGTCTGGACATTGTTCAGTTGGGTGTAGACGGCGCCACTCCGACTTGACCGGTGGCAGTCTGGACATTGTACATTTGAGATGTAGACCGCCACTCGACCTTGACCGGTGGTAGTCTGGACATTGTCAGTTGGGTGTAGCTCGCCACTCCGGACCTTGATCAATGGTATTTGCGACACGGGAGAGGGCGGGGGATGCGTGAAAGCTGTTTCTTGCTATCGATTACGAGTGATTCTCAAGTTATGAGAAGCGACGAGCGGGTATTCACTGTTCCGCATGTGGCATGGTGTGTGTTTTGTGTGTGTGGTGTGTGTGTGTGTGTGTGTGTGTGTGTGTGGTGTGTGTGTGTGTGTGTGTGTGTGTGTGTTGTTTGGTGCGTATGCGTGTGGCGTGCGCTGTGTGCCTGCTGGCGTGTGCGCCGCGTGTGTGTCTGCGTGTGCTTGTGCGTTTGGCATTGCTGGCTTTGACACACGACCTTGGTAAATTTACGATTTTTTTTAATAATAAGGGCGCATTAAATGGAATCCGCATATATGTGGACGGAACGTAACTGGTAATTACCTGCCGCGCACGAATTGGCAAGAAGTAATGTGATCCCTCTGCGTGTGATGTGTTCGTGTGTGTGTTCGTGTGTGTTCGTGTGTGTGTGTAGCCAGCAGCTGCGCGCTTAAGGCGTAGAGTCAGGCAGCAGGCTCGCTCGCTTGGCGCGCAACAATCAATATTTCAGCGATTCTACTACTACAAGCTAGAACTACTAGAAACTGCAACTAAAACTGAACTAAGAGTCAGGCGAGCGGGCCCCCGCGATCGATAGCCGCGTCGAGTCAGCGAGTGGCGCGAGTCAGCAGCAGCCAGCCTAGTGGGAAAAGCACATTATCTATGTTACATGGCTCGCGGAGGTATGCACCTCTGCGGCGTGAGTGCCCTCTGTCTTAGTTGGCAAATTGTAATTGACAAGCTCTACCTACTAGCACCACATAATGCACGCGCGCAGCGTGGATCGTTCACAAGAGTGCTGGTGTTATTCACGACGATCAGCTCCGGGCAATAACGCAGTTACGGGACACACGGAGGGAGTCTTCAAGTGAAACCAAAACAGTAATCTCGACCG